GCCATGTGATTTGCACATCTTTCCATTTATGTAAAAGTTGTTTACACATTTGAGGGAGTGTGGATAAGTAGCAATATTGAGCCCTAGGTATGTGATGTGAGAGTGTCTCCAGTCGAAGGGGAAGTGGGTTTGCAATGTAGCTGCAGTTGTGGTCGGCAGTCTGATTGGGAGTGCTTAGGTCTTAGCTTGATTCAGATTGATTAGATTTTCGTATCGCTATTGAGGAGAGAAATTGGGCGAAAGTTTTGGCATAGGTTTGCTGGTTTTCCAGGTTTGGGTAGTGTGGAGATGTGTGCTAGTAGCATGTCCGGAGGCATAGACCCTGTTTTAAAACAGTGACTAAAGAGGTCTGTTAAGTGAGGTAACAGTAGGTGGGAGAAAGTCTGATAATATACATTGGTGAAGCCATCCAGTCCTGGGGATTTGTGAGTGGGCAGTTTATTTATGATGTTTAGTATTTCTGTGCTATTGATGGGGCGAGTAAGGGTCTCTATTTCTGCTTCCGTGAGTTTAGGTAAGTCAATGTCTGCTAGGAAGTGTTGAATTTGAGTTGCCGAGGGGACGTGAGTAGACTCTTGTTTCTCTAAATTGTAAAGGGAGCTATAATAGTTTGCGAATTCTTCCACAATGTCTTGGGGGTTCATCAGTTTGCACTTATCTGAGGATAAAAGAAATTCCACTCGTGAGTGGGTGGTACGTGTTTTAAGTTTGGAGGTGAGGATTTTCCCTGATTTGTTGCCTTGTGCAAAAAATTTGTGTCTATATCTTTGTAGGGTATGATTGGTTTTGTTTAGTTCCACCTCATTGAGCTGGGTTTGTAGTGTTCGAAGCTTGTCATATTGTGTTTGTGTGGGGTTTTGTTTATTGGCGTGTGTGATGGCCATGATTTGTTGAAGAAGGTTATCGTAAGTAGCCGTTCTCAGCTTTTTGGCATAGCAGCCGTATTTGATCAGCGAACCCCTGATGACCGCCTTATGGGCTTGCCAGTTGAGTCTCCTGAGCAATTTATGTCAAAGTACGTTTTAATGTCGTCTCTGATGTGTTGAACAATTTATGGATCTTTTAATAAGGATTCGTTGAGTCTCCAGGATCCTGTTTGGGAATTTCTCTGTTATCGTCAGGGTTATGGGTGCATGGTCTGACCATGTTATCTGTCCAATGCTCGCTTTCTGTACTATCGGAGTTAAGGAGTGAGGGATCAGGAATCTATCGATCCTAGAATAGGAGTTGTGCGCCTGGGAGTGGAAAGTGAAGTCTTTTTCAGAAGGATGTAGCACTCTCCAGATGTCTAATAGGCCTGATTTGTGTATGTGACTCCTAACATGGTGCGTGATGGCAAATCGTTTCTTAGCAGTGGCATGTGACACCGTGGTGTTTGATGTAGTGTCTAGATTACTATCTAGAAGAAAATTCGTGTCTCCCCCTATAATCAGTTTACCATATGTATGTGTTTGGGTGAGCAGAATTATTTTGTCTAGATATATACCTTGGTTATCGTGAGGGACGTAGATATTTAGAAGCGTGTACGGTTCGTTATTAATCTGACATTGTACTAAAAGGTATCTCCCTTCTTTGTCCCCTACTTTCTTATGAAGCATGAAGGAGATATCCTTACTGATCAATATAGATACGCCTCTCTTCTTTTTAGTGTATCCTACATGGTACCCAATAGGGTAGAATTTAGACGAGAATCTAGGCATTTTGTTTCTGAGAAAATGAGTTTCTTGGTAGAAAGCTACGTGAGCTCGTAGTTTCTTTGTTTCGGCTAGAGCTAATCTCCTTTTATGAGGTGAATTAAGCCCCTTGGTGTTGAGCGATAGAATAGTCAGAGCCATTTATGTGGTACATTGATGCTATCCCTAATCCTGTTATGCGTATATCGCACCAAGTTGTAAGTTATTAGCGTATATTTATATCCTTGTCTTGGTATTTGTACAGTAAGAGGCAAGGTGTATTGTCTTATCTTTTTTTGCGCCTTTACCCTACCAATCAAGGACGTTTCTGGTGGGTACCCTGAAATAGGTGAGCTTGGAGGAGGGGGAAGGGGGGGAGGGTAGATAGCCAAGTGGCAACTATATACAACATGGAGTACAGACGTTTTCCGTCTGTGAACGAGAACTGATCTCGCGGCTTTATAGAGCCAAAGTGGGGGAGGGTGTTCATGAGGCTTGAGAAACTGCCCAATACACTTGTGACATCTCACATTCCTATATTAGTTTGAAGGTGAGAATGTTAGGTAAGTTGGCTACATGCGATGCCACGCTCACCTATAACATTCTTGTCTGGTAAGGTGACATTAAGATAAAAAAAAAAAGGCATAATTGCTACTTATAACAAACCAACATTTGCAATCATGTATGTATATGCTCACGCATCTCTATGACTGTGAACCAGGTCCATGGTAGAGAACGGCAACCACAAAGATGTTTGGTTCTCTTCATCTCTTCTTTTTTTTTTTTTTTTCCTCTTTTCTCCTTTCCATTTTTCCCTTTTTTCTCTTTCTTTTTCTCCCTTTTTTTTCTTTCTTTTTTCTTTCTTTATGTAACTCAGTCCTTGTCATTTGTGTTTAGACATTGATATCCATTCTTTGGACACTTTTGTAGGCGATTTGTGTTGCTTGCCGGGCGGGTCTGCGATCTCTTGGGGTGCGACGGGCAGGTTCCAATCTTTGAGCAGTTGGACACCTTCTCTGGCAGTATGGATTTGGTGCTCCACTCCGTTCTTCCTGACAATAATCCGAGTGGGGTAGCCCCATTTGTAAGGCATATCAGCGTTCCTCAACGCTTTGGTGACCGGTGCCATCTCTTTGCGTTTAGCTAGTGTCGTTGCCGACAGATCTGTGAAGAGTTGTATGCCATTGTATTCCTCTTGGATGTTATCCCTGTGTCTTGCTGCTTTCATGACACTTTCTTTAAAAGTGAAATAGTGTACTCTAGTGAGTACATCTCTTGGCACGGAGGCTGCAAGGAATCGTGGCTTGGGAAGCCTGTGTATACGATCCAAGCGTAGGTCTGCCTCCGGAAGATCCGGGCACAGTGCTTTTAATAATTTTATGGTGAAATCTTGTAATTCCACTGGCTTTTAATATCCTCCGATATGCCGCACAGGCGTATATTGTTCCTTCTATCGCGATCCTCATGGTCCGCCACCTTTGCAATCAAAGTGTCGATTTTAGCTCCAAAGGAGTCATAGGCCTCTACTAGGTTATTATGGGCCTCTATGATTTCTTCAGTTTTTTCTTCCAATATAGTTGTACGCTCCCCTATGGCTTGGACATCAGCCCTAACATCTCGGGCAAGCTTGCTGAATTCATTTTGTAGATTGTGTTGCAGTTCCTGCAGCATTCTGTGCAGTGAGGATTCAGAGGCGGGTGCTGAATTCCCCAGGGAGATAGAAGTGCTGTCGCTCCGATCGGAGCATGCTGCTGGTGATGTGGGGCCTCCGCCGCCATCTTGGGCCCGGTTCCTGGGTGGCGTGAGCGATGTAATCTGTAGCTCTGCCGGGCGTAATTTAGTTTTTTTAGCCGTTCGTAAGGACATTGTTGGTCTGTGCAGCTTACCGCTCAGTTTTCATGCTGAGTAAGGCAGTTTATGCTCGTCTGTTTGCGGTGTAAGTAGTCACCCTCGTCGGAGCTTGGAGCTTACGCGTCCATGTTCGCACGCTGCCAGGCCACGCCCCCAGAATCTTTGTTTTTTGAGGTTGCATCTTATTGTAGATTATGTTAGCTTTAGTGTACCTATAATCTTAATTTTATTAATGACAGGAGGCGAATATTTTGCTTAAGACTTTCTTTACTTAAGTTTCCCAGCAGCATAACTTTCACATAGAAACAGGATAAAGCAATCAGAAAAAAAGATTACAGGCAATACAACTCCCTACCCCAGTTAGCTCTTCCTCTTTCTGTCTGCAAAACAAAACAGTAACAGGAACTGATGAATGAACTGGAATAAAGTCTGAGAGGAGAAGGTAAATTGAGTCCAAGTTTTATTTATTTTTTAATTCTTTATTTTTGACAGTGCAGTGGTGATTACACAGTTTGGTATTGGTATGAGTAAGCATGGATATATTGATAATATACATCGACAGTTTGCATAAGAAGTCAAAACATACTGCACTGTTATTTTATGTTTAAAGTAGAGTAAGAACACAAATGAGCATAACAGATAGAGAGAGACTTTTGCATTGCCCAGCAGGCATATGGAGCGTAAAGTCCATTCTCGTATTATGTATGGGTCTAAGGATCCCCCCTGAGAGAGGGCATCATCAGCCAATAGTAGTAATAGTGCCTATGGATCCCAGGACGTGCAGGAGTTTGTCCTGGGTCAAGCAAAGACTGTGCTCAATGCCTTTCCGTGGGTCACGGTCAGTCCTGGCCAGGTAGTTATACACCATTGTGTCGAATTCTGGGGTCATGGCAACTTTGTCCGGAAGGGAAGGTCTGTGACATTCTGCTCTCAATCATTTGCGGATCTTGCAGTCCAGGGGTCGTCTGATCCAGAAGTGGATGTATTGTGTAAGATGATCCGGTAAAGCCCATTCAGAAAAGCGAGCATGTCAAATAAGGCGTGGGTCAAAAAGCAGTTGGCCCCGGGGGCGGAGCCTGGCTGTGGAGCTGATCAGACGTGTGTAGCACGAGCTCCAGCCTGAACTCGCACTTAAAGCGACATAAAATTGAGTTTTACGTTATAATCCCACCCAAAAACGCACCACCCTGATAGGGGCTGCAGATTGGACCGCACAGAGACTACTCCTGTAACGCTGAGCCGCTGAGAATGAGAGCTGCATCACCGGGGCCTGAGTGGAGGTAAGGGCGTGGATGAGGTGGCCGATCACCCAGCCTGGGACTCCCCGAGGGCCAATACTAACTCTGCATAGGACCACCCACAAGCCTTCCTCCCCCCCCCCCCCCACCGGTGGGGGATATCCCGGCATCAGCAGCACACCCTCCGCTGATTCACACACCCCAGAGACAGCAAGCCCCTAGACTCACCGACTCCAAAATGGCGGATGCCACGAGCAAGCAAGCAAATATGGCGGACTGCGGGGAGCGGCTGAATAATACAATGAACAAGCTGGACACAATTCTAGATGCCTTCTGGACCAGGATCTCACAGTCCGATAGCCACCAGAGGCCCCCCAACAAAGTGCTGAAGAGGGGATCGGAGACTCAAGCAGACACACAGAGCCTGTCTCAAGACAAACACCAGCCTCCAGCCGCATCAAAACCACACCAGATATGTGGCACCCAGCCCACCAAGACGGCACCAACCACCCGATGGAACAAACCTGCTACACCTTAAGCCGACAACCCGGCACTTAACTGGATACTTATCGCTGATGTTCCGGGTGATAGGGACCCCCGGGGTATGCACCAGGAGCCCAGAAGGGATTGGATGAGCACAAGTAGAAAAGCAGAGTGTGTCAGGCATGTCATACCATAGATGGACTTTTACACCATGCCGTCAAGCATATGAACTGCTCCCGATACACCAGCAAATCATAACATAACATCTGATTTAAAATTATCGTTATTTCCTATATTGAAGAGCCTATAACCATGGCCACGCACATTTCTTTACTACACCCGCTTATGTATCCTGTTATTACCTAATCTTGTCTCATGGGACACCTTAAGTCTGAATTAGCACTAGCGATAGGGCTGCTAACAAGTCTGAATAGTTCATAACGTGCAACTATACCAGATGTCGCTACTAATAATGCAATGCCTTAGACTTACAAACCTCAGCGCTACTAGTCATGACAGTTGCACGTTCAGTCTAGCATGCTAAACTATACTATGTTTATGTTTACCTACCTGTATTCCTCATGTCATACACATAAAAATGTGCTGTCTACACTGTAAAATGTATTGAAAATGTGCGCAGAAGCTATCATGGATCTGCGTGCCTGTTGTTAATCTGAGCAAGCGAAAAATAAAGAATTTAAAAAAAAAAAAGCAGTTGGCCTGAGGTATCCATGAAAACTTCTGCATCACCGGATGGTGTTGGTAAGGAGGTTGAATCGGGATTGGCACCGCTCCAAAGCCTGCATCCAGCAAACCGGCCTCCTCGTCAGACTCTTAGTGATCCGCTTGCCATTCGTCCAAGATTGTCAGTGGTGGAGGGTAAGTATCCTCTTCTTCTTCAGGCAGAGTTGGACGGACATGGAGTCTCTCTTTAGCATTCTTATGTTTGGGGCACTTTGCCGGCGCCTTACCCTTCCAATAACATTTGCACGGTTTGCTCAGCCCAACACTCTGGAGGAGACTGAGTCATCAGATTCTTCTTTAGAGCATAGTTGTTCGGGAGGGGCTTTGTCCTTAGGGTCAGAGGGTATGACCCATGTCAGGGCCTTTTCAACAGACACAGCCACTGCTGCGTTAATAAGCACCTGGAGATTTTAGTTTTGCGCCGAGGAATGCATAATGTCAGCCAGTAACACTAAATGGTCCTGATGAATAATATCATATATGTAATAAACTAATCTATATATATATATATATTTATATATATATGTAACTAGGGCTCACCCAGTAGAAATCCTCCGGATGTATATAGACCCTCTAGGGAGGTAATGGGGCACAGACAAGAGATATTGATATACCAGAGACAGCAATATCATGTAATGACCAATATAGTTATACCCAATAGGGTGGTAATAAATAAATATAGGGGGCCCTTTATAATATCACTGGGAAGTAATAGTGGCTCAGAGAGTAGATATATGAAACAAGGGCTCACCCCAGTATAGGTAGTGTGACTAATGATACACACTCCGATATAATAATGAGTTGGATATAGAGGGGCTCACCCTCTAAACTTTGTAGTGTTATATGCAGGCACAATGTAAATAATCTATATCAAAAATAGAGATGAAGACAGAGGAAAATATAAAGAAATGACAGAAATCAAGAGAATTACAGCAAATAAAAGTAAAACTAAAACACAGTAAACCCCCACAAAGTAGGAGACAGTGGCACTCTGACCTGTGCTGGTGTGGAGCAGCAAAGAAAGAAGACGAGCTAACTGGGGGAGGGAGTTTTATTGCCTGTAATCTATTTTTTCTGAGTGGTTTATCCTGTTACTATGTAAAAGTAAAGAAAATGTTAAGCAAAATATGAAACCTCCTGTCATGTTATATAATCATGTACAACCCTGAACCCTTTACTTAAATATATGAGGTGTGTCTGGAAAGTATCTAGCCATGTGATATGAAAAATAGAGACATTTATTGAACAAGATACAAGAAACATTGTACATAGGATAATGGCACCGCAGTCCCCTTCAAAGTAGGCACCCTGAGTTCTCCAAGTGTCTTTTCCACTGTTCGAAACACTCTGCAAAATCTTTTGTTGGAATCGCCATATTTACCTGAATCTCATTGACAGCCTGAAATCTCTTTCCTTTCAAAGGTGATTTTAGTTTTGGGAAAAGCCAGAAGTAGCAGGTCGCCAAGTCCTTTATCAGATTCTCGACCATCTTTGAAACATTTGTGTCACATTTTGCACTCATTGCATAGTCCCTGAAAGCTTTCTGAATTATCCGAACAGTTTCCACCAGGGAATGTTCAAGCTTAACGCAATATTTGAAGCAGATTAGTTGCTCTACTTAGTCATATTGAATGCGATGGCCACACAATACACATGCTCACTGAACAGCGTCTAGCACCACCACTGTCTTGTACAGTGAAGTCTTAATTTTAAACAAATGCACATTCCAGTCCAATCTCCTTGACTGTCATGTTACATCGATGTTGCGCAAACCGGTCTCATTATATTAACAATGGCTGGCCTTTTTCCGAACAGACTTTGTATATTTACAGCATACCCAGAATTTTTTTCAAAGAACCTTGGTTATATGCAACATGTGCATGTTTATATGCAGGTTTATGTTTATTCTTATTTATTAATATAAATACGTAGCTTGTCAACTTGATGACATACTGTTTGACATTTTTAATAAGTAGCTGTGTGGATAAAAATTCATAATTCTCTTTCTTCAATAAACAACTTCTAGTTTCAGTTTGTTCATGTTTAGAATGAGAAATCACTTTGAAACTGAGAAAGGATTGAGGTTGCCATGGAAACTAAAAAATCTTTTGCTAAGTGGCTTGTCAGAAAAGCCTATTATATTTTGATAAGGACAGTTCAGAATCATCACAGTATAATGAACATATTTATGAAAAGTAGTTAAATATAAGAAATATTTACATTCACACTGATAAGAACTCTGTTTTATGCTGCTGTATTTTAGGCCAAATTGCACTTTATTTATTAATTAAAATTTAGTCTAAATCTATGTTAGAAGGAAAAGTCTTGAACTTTGACACCAGACATTGATTTTTTTATACCTTTAGGGTGATTTTTTATTTGAATTTCTTCATAAACTGCATTTTTTATTATTACTATTTTCAATTTTTTCCAATTTATTGTAATTTGTTAAACTTTTCTGATATTGCGCTTGGTCTTAAAATTTTGATGGATGCAAAGTCTTCTTAGTGACTATATCATGGAATACACAAAATTGATGCAATCTAATTAAAATATTATATGACCATTCAGGAGTTATATGAGGAATATAATATCTTTCATAATCAAGGTCCATGGCATGTGTAATATCTCATTATGCCTTCTGTGTCTCACATTGTTTAAGGTTGACATATTCTATTACATATATTACTATTTCTGTTCCCAAACTTCCTATTCTTGAATATTTTTGCGACAATTCATCTACTACTGTGGAGGATTATATGTATGTATTGAAATAAAGAGTTATTCAAGTGTTATGGGTTTATAAATAATCCTGCTAGATGGAATAGCCAATCAAATATCTCACCTACTAGAGATTAAAACATAATATTTTCAAAGTTGTCACCATAAAAACCACAACAAGAAATTATGAAAGCTTTACCTTACACATGTGCTCTCCACTTGTACTCAGCCTTAGTAGGATAGACACAGGGTTAAAAGACACAGGTCAGATAAAGGGTTCACCTTGCACATGTGCACTTCATCTGTAATCAGTTTTGTCAGGATAGATATAGAAGACAGTGGTTGGAGTTGGTGTTAGGCTCAGTGATTTTGGGTAGGTTAGAAAAGTGACACATGGAGTAGAACAATTAGGGTTGCGCAACAGAATGCTGTGTGCACAAACAGTGCTACAGTGTTTTATCTAAGGGTCAAGTATAAGTACAACCCATTCAGGTAACACCCTTTCTCAATGCATCTTGTCCTTACAGTCTGATACAGTCACCAGTATATATACAATAAATGTAAACAGCACTGTTATGGTGATCTGCGGCACTTAGTAACCAAGTAAATGGTTATATAGAAAATCATACAGTTGGCGTAGAGAAACCTAATAGGTGGGGACAGAAAAGAAGCAATAAATAACCATGCACACAAAAAAACACATTAAGTGTTCCAAAGATGCAAATAAATCCAAACTTATGGAATGGATTAGGTTGCCTATGCAGAGAGAGATGTCAGCTGAAAGTAAATAAAGTAAACTGTCAAAATAAATCAAACAAAATAAATGAAATGATAAAAGTAAAATCTTTCGGTTGTGTTGCCTTCAGTTTTCTATGTGTATTTATTATTCACTGTTTAGAGCTGCAGTGGGAAGAATTCAATATTATTTTGTTTTGTAGGTACTTCAATAAACTATACCTCTACTACAAATTTTGTGATTACATCTGTGCTTAGAACAGTGATTCAGATTTGTAGATCAATATTAGATGTTAGATACACATATTTACGCACATCATTTACTTACATAAATATTTTTTTCAATTTTTTTTTTTTATTGATGATTGATATGCTTTAGAAAATGCACTTTGAAAATTGGATAAATTGATTAAGTAGCGCTGTTATTCTCTATGGGCGATGTTGGAATTACTAAACACAATTGCTAAAATTTTGCAATGTGCTGACAATGTTTGCAACATCTATTTTAAAGGTTAGTGCCTTATCAGTAAAACACTAGAACTTAGCCCATAGTTGGGTTAAACCATATTTAACGAACCAAACAGAGCATTTTTTTTTCAGAATACGTGCTGCAAATTTGGCCTTCAGTAAATTATTCTCAGAGTATCAATTATCTTTCCCATAGGAAGGATATCTGATGCAGTTGATTAATGTCATAATTGCCAAAACAGAGTATTTTATAACAGTGACAGGCATATGACATGAACAACCACAATTGTAACTAAGCCCTCATTATTTTACCCAAGATAGATGGTTTTATGAACTATATTAACCTTAGAAATGGCTTAGATTAGAATACATCGTGTTTGTTTTGGC